ACTCTGGTGTCATTTATTCATCAAAATGTTGTGCCTGCTGATTAGCCTCAATAGGTTGTGATTTGAGTTCTCAATCAGCGTAAAACCTTTGGCTCGCACATTACTTGGGTGGATAGAAGCCATTCCGATATCCATAGTACATGTGGATACATGCAAGTACATTCAAAACTGTTGGTTTCTGGTTGGATTAGATGCCAGATGACAGTTTCTAATTTGTACAAACACCCAGGTCCTAAAGCTGTCAAACTGGAGTATACAACTCACAGTAGTTATCAACCACCAGTCTTATGAGGCTCCAGCCGGCTATATACTGTCTACTGCAAACTCTCAAGAGCGATACTGTCAGTCTGCTGGCCAGTGCAGCTCTGAAGTTTGCAGCTGTGTCATACTATAAATCCCCAATCTGCTCCTAGCTGTCTGTTTATAGCTGTTACAAAAGCATCCAGTACTACGGTTATTAGTGTTGAAATTACTGGTATGCCTTTTAATGCTGGACTTCACTCATATGTTACTGTGTGGTCTCCTTCTTACCTGAAAAATCTATTCCCTCTCATCTGTGTTGTGAGAGCTGGTGCATGCATCTGTATTTATGAGCTCTCTGAGTTAATATGAAGGGAGAGAAAACATCTGTTTTTGTTGTGTCTGGAGCACAAGTTGTCAGTGCACACATGGGTGTGATATGGATGTGCTGTTTAATTTGATTAATAGGGTCAGTTCACTAGTTCACTGGCTATATTTTTTTTAAGGCAGGAAATATGACAATGAATTTACATGTGTTGCATTAGTGTTATTACACATATTTTATTTTAATCCCCCCAGGGAAGTTTACTATGGAATCAGATTTCCATCACCATGTGTCTTTTGTGCACCACTGTGAACAAAAATAAACCTTCAAGCACATCATACTTCCTTAGCAACCATGTTGACATTGCAATTGTATATTGCCAATACAAGATGGTGTAACGAGTTCATCCAGCAACACTACTTTCTAACATACATGATTTTACTTAACTTTATTCAGGGTGATTTTTGCATATGTATGCTCACACAGGATTTCCTTCCCAGCAGAAATGTTGCAGTGTTTTCAGTTTTTTCTGATCCCTTAACTTGAAAAAGGCTGGAAACTGGAATTTGTGTTTACATCAATGTTTCTAAAAAATCAGATTGAGTTTATGCCAAAAATAAGTTATATTATATATATATATTATATATAAGTTATATACCATGTTTCAAAGCAGAACTTAGCAGAATAAAAATAACCTGCATAAAATGTACTTAAAAGAGAAAAAACATAACAAAAAATTACACAAAGGCTAAAGTCTAAACCGGTGGGTGAGGAGTAATCAGAGTACTGTTGTGGAAACATTGCATGTGGAAAGATTTTTCTATAAATATTTAGCGTAATGCTCATTTCAGGGGCTTTTATGTACACAATTGAATGAGAAGAGCAAAAAAACAAACTAATCTTAAAACAAAAATTAGAAGTTGATTAGAAGCACATAGCACTTTATAGACTTCTCTGTCGTCTCTGTGACTTTGTTTGGCAGTCATGTTAGTTCCACACTGCCGCCTGCTCTTCCTCCTTAGCTCCAGCCTGCACTTCATTAGCCTTCTTCTATTCCCAGAACTCCTGTAGATGTGACTCCTCTTTTCCGGGATGGAGGAATGTTTCTCCCTCAGGTCTGACTGATGGAATGGGTTGAGGCCTGGGTAGGGGTCTGGGCCTGTTTGTTCAGGATGTGTTGAGAGGGAAGAAGGAAAGAAAGAGAGATGGTCGACCGCCCCCCTAACCCACCCCCCAAATCCCTGGATCCCATGGCTGAAAATCACTGCCAGCTGAGCTGACATGCTTATCCATGCCTACATCAGAACTAACGGGGGCTCCTGGTGGATAAAGAGCCAGACTGAGCGACAGACGCCGTTGAGAAGTCATTGCTAATGTAGTGAGATCATATTTCAGGTAGTGTACGGTCACTGTCGGGGAGTGGTCCTGGGACAACCATCATTGCTTCATCCTTTACCTTTCAACATTGGTTCTACAATGCTCCTACATTACACATACAACATGTTGATATAAATGTTACCAAGACTTGAATTTTGTCTGAATCATGCTTCTGCTTCTTCTCTGGAATAACGTCATGCAACTTCCTGCTCTGTTGTAGTTTTTTTTTTCTTCAACATCCATTATAGCTTAAAACATAAGCTCTTAAAATGCTGCTCTCTCATCCTTTCCCCCTTTTCCCGCCATCATGAGCAACTGACCTCACTCAGTGGAGTATTCAATGACCTCAGAGCAAGAAGTACTGCAGCACTTACTCCTGTTCCCTTTTTTTGTACACCCGCAATCACACACAGTCTGGATGCTTGGTCGGTAGAAAGTGAAGCAGAAAGAACAAAATGGAAGGAAAGATGGTGGCTCCAGGTCCCGTTGGGGAAAGGCAAAGCCAGTGCTGTAGCTGTAATTTTGACTTTGTCCTTGACTGTGTTTGGAAGTGACAGGGTGAGAGAGCACACCCCAGAGGACCACTGTAGTAGCTATTAAAAGCAGCTTGTAGTTTATTGTGTTTTCAGTTATTTAATGTTGACTCAACTCTCATTCCCACAGTTACATTGTCATATTAAATACATTGAAATTGAAATGTATTTTGGTTCATAAATAATTACACAATTAGGCAGAACAATAGAAAGGCAATTACTGCCTACAAAATAGCATGGTAGAAAACAATGCAACAAAACAACATAACATAATGGAACTAAGCGTCTACAGCCATGCTAGCAGCTTCCTGAGGCTGTACACATTAGTGATCTTAACTAAATGCTAACATTAGCATGCTTACCTAGTCTCAATGACAATGCTAACATGCTGATGTTAAGTAGTTCTAATGTTTACCTTGTTCACCATCTTAGTTTAGTATGTAAGCATACCAGCATTTGCTTATTATCCCTAAACAAAGTTCAGCTGAGGCTGAGGCCAAATGCCATTATCATCATATATTTAATATAGAAATCATGAAACCAAGTATTATCACCGGCTGTATTCTGGTGCTGTGACAGCACGCAAGGTGTGACTTTTAACTCCAGGGATGACAGCATCACAGTTTGTCACGACAGATGGTTGGGGAGATTCATCCCAGTGGCGGTTATGCAATGAAGTATGATTTTCACTGTGTTGTGCAAGGTTTTATGTTGTTCCAGCAGTATAAAGGCCTTTTCTTTTGGCCCTGTTGTTGTATGCTGGTCCACACTTCAACATTGTGTGTACCTATATTGCCACAAGGGAGCCAGTTAGCCTTTTTTCACCATGAAGTTTTCCTGTGTCATGGTGGCCTTGGCTGACCCTGAATGGGTCATCTGCACTCTGACAGAAGGGAAGGAGGCCACTTAATGTGATGCACAAGAATTCACTCAGGGATTCAGCATTTGGTGGAAGGGAACACCTGTGTTACTTCAGGACATAATAATATTTCCAGTTGCATCCAAACGCCATCTTAGCTATTGGAATCAGACTAAATATTTTGTTCATGCTGTCTAACAATAATTGGTGGTAGTTTGGCAGCCACAGCAGGCCAACATGTTTTAATAGTCTACACTTGTATTTGGTTGAAAAGCAGAAGTCCTTGAAACCCTTGCAGATATGCAAAGTTGCTCAGTTGTATTAGTTGAAATCACTTACAGCAAGCTTTGAATTTATATTTACCTGACATACTTTGTACTAGACATAAAGTAATGATAGGCTATATTGAACCATGAATGACCATCTCTTGTAAACATTAGTCAGTGTGCTGTGCTTAGTAGTCTTGCCAAGCAGTAAATCTTGATTCAGTGTATTCAGTTTAGAGTAAAACCTTTCTTACACACAAAAAGGGTGAACAAATACATCTGTGGTTTGAACGTTTGACCATTTTCAGTTCCACTTTTTCACTCAGCATTGGTTGTTGCTCGCTGTCTTGAGAAGGAAGTGGATTGTGTACACAATATGGGTGTGTCAAGTCACAGTTCAAACACGTTAAGCTGCCAGTGAACAGTGAACTTACTGTACCGTGGAGGAGAAGAGATGTTAGTTAGTGTAATGTTAGTTAATGAGCAGGTGGGCACCTAATACACCCACGTATCGGCTATTTCTAAGGACCTAAAGGACCGCTGAGGTTGTATTTACTTTGTCATTCTACTCTAAACTGGACTTTGTAACATGTATTGGAACAGTGTGTTGTCGCTCTGGCAAACATGATGTAACTCCCATTGGTCACTGATTGGTCCTTAAGGTGGCATAAACTTTAGTTTCCTGGAGGATCCTTTGTACTCTGGACTTCATTTGGCTGAAAGAATGGTGGACAAGATATGGAGGAAGAGTTGGCATTTTATAGAAAATAGACGGTCTTTTCGCAATAAGCAGTCACCTTGTAATACGGCAGAATGTAAGAGTGAGTGAGTAACCTCTTATTTTTTTTTCACACTATTTGTCTAAGAGGTAATTCCACAAGGACAACGGATGACTCAATGTGTTTTAATATTTAGAGAGTGTTTATGTGGCATTTGTACTTTTTGAATGTAGCACAGCAAAATCGATGGCAGGCTGTATATTTTCAGTAGTCATTACAGATGTATGTATAAGTTTTAGGCAGCTTACAGATGAATATAATGTGGGTTATCTTGTGTATCACTAAGTTGTAGAATCAGCAGGTCCCAGAAATGCCTACATGTTTGCTTCTTTTACACACACACACTCTGCAGTTCACTTCTGTCATGCCATACTTGTTTGTATATTCCATTACCGAGACTAGACTATTGATTAAGACTTTCTTTTAGAAAAGCTTAGGCCATAAATCCCTGAAGTTAAGCTACTTTTTGCTCTGACATTTCATAAGATGGATCAGTAAGACAGCTACGATTAACCTGATAATACTTCAATCACATTCTGACTCACAAATTGGATTTTCATTGACTAATCTTTGTAGCGAGAAGATGAAATCTCTAACCATCCCTTTGTTTTCGTATTGCAGTGTGGAAGGGGATGGACGGCCCAATGAGAGTGGCCCTTCTCTGGATGGTGGAGCCAGTTTTGGCCAGGGCCCGGTGACTCACGGCTCTGCCATCAGCCCTGACCGATTTGACAGCCCGCTTTACAGCCACGGAGTCCAGCCTGGGCCTCAGAGACCCCGTCGGCCCAAGCTCCAGCACTCGCAGTCCATTCTCCGTAAGCAGGCTGAGGAGGAGGCCATCAAGCGGTCCCGCTCGCTCTCTGAGAGCTATGAGCTCTCTGCTGACCTCCAGGACAAACAGGTATTTCAAAGTAGCTTGGAATAATTTGCTTTGGAGTTGGTCAAAGTTTCTTACGGTCTTGTATCATTAGAAATGTCACATGCTATTTTTCTTTAGGAATTGTGTGTGGGTTACTCAGAAACCCAGCTGTGTGAGATTATTACTGGTACAAATAAACCAGGAAAAGCTGTTATTAGATTGTCACAGAACCACTAACAACTGTAAAAAAAGCTAATTATCAGTGGCATCCAGGATGATGACTTTGGAAATCATCTATGGCTAAGAAAACCAATTAAAAATTCAATTGGTGGCACTGTTTCACAGTTTCACATTTACTCCCTATTCTCTCTAGGTGGAGATGCTGGAGCGTAAATATGGTGGACGATTCATAACTCGGCATGCGGCCCGCACCATCCAGACAGCCTTCCGCCAGTATCAGATGAACAAGAACTTTGAACGTCTCAGGAGCTCTATGTCTGAGAACCGTATGTCCAGACGCATTGTTCTCTCCAACATGAGGATGCAGCTCTCATTTGAGGGCCCAGAGAAAGTGCACAGCTCCTACTTTGAAGGGAGGCAGGTGTCCATGACGGAGGATGGCACCCCACTGTCCATGGTGCAGTCTGAATGTGGAGATATAGAGGTCCACCAACAGGCCAACATGGCATCTCACCCAACCCCACAGGGTGACCTGACAGATGCCATCACAGAGCTGGAGGATGCCTTTTCCAGGCAGGTTAAATCTCTGGCTGAGTCGATAGATGATGCACTAAACTGTCGCAGCCTTCAGGGGGATGAGGGTCCTGACCCAGAAGCCATGGGCTGCTCTAAGGTGGAGAGGGAAGTGCCCTATCAGGTGAAGTCCCACCGCAGGGCAGCTGGACGAATGCATGATGAAACGATGGCATCCTATAGTGATGTTACTCTGTTCATCGATGAGGAGGACATGTCCCCCTCTATGGCTCTGTCGAGGTCAGGGGAACAGCCCTGTAGCACAGAATCAGACTTGCGGTTGCGGTCAGTCAACTCCTCTCAGGAGTACTGGCCTGTCGACCCCAAAGATGAGGGTCGTGACACAGACACAAGCTGCCGCAGCACTCCTTCTCTAGAGTGCCAAGAGCAGCGACTTAGAATGGACCATCTTCCTTTATTGACCATAGAACCTCCTAGTGACAGCTCTGTAGAGCTCAGTGACCGGTCTGACCGTGGCTCTGTCAAACGACCGCCTGTGTATGAACCACATGGCCACATTGTAACATCATCCCAGGCAAGCCCTAAACACATTTCCCATGGACCCCCACCACGAGCTTCCTCCCGTGACGATGACGCACCTCTGCGCCACCGCCATCGCCAGCTGGAAAGCCACTTAGCTATCAACGGCTCAGCCAACAGACAGAGTAAGTCAGAATCTGACTTCTCTGATGGGGACAACGACAGCATCAATAGCACATCCAACTCCAATGACACCATCAACTGCAGCTCCGAGTCCTCTTCAAGAGACAGCCTACGAGAGCAAACACTCAGCAAGCAGACTTATCACAAAGAGACTCGCAACAGCTGGGACTCGCCCATCTTCAGTAACGATGTTATTCGCAAGAGATACTACCGCATCGGCCTGAATCTCTTCAACAAGTAGGTACTCAGCTCTGATGGAGCAGGTGCTTGACCAGTGTTTGCAGTGATTAAGGGCCTAGCAAATGGACATGATGTTAGAGAAGCCATTCACTCACTGTGTGTTGTACTATAAACTATAATCAGCTGAATTAATATCAAATTCAATCAGTGTATCAACAGTTAATAGATCATTATGAAAAAACAACACTGATCTAACTTTCCTCAGGAAGTTGGTGATGTGTATTATCTCAGAATTCAAGTTTAGGTAGTAGCAGATTTTTCTTACCAGTTTTTAAATTTACCTGCTTTTAAAATTTGGATTTTGGATTTATCAGGAAGCCAGAGAAGGGCATCCAGTACCTGACTGAGAGAGGATTTATCCCTGACACACCAGTTGGTGTGGCTCACTTCCTGCTGCAGAGGAAGGGGCTCAGCAGGCAGATGATTGGAGAGTTTCTGGGCAACCGGCAGAAACAGTTCAACAGAGATGTCTTGGAGTAAGTATGACTCCACCCCCTCCAACCAAACCTATATATAATTGGATAAAAGTGTGAAGGAAAGATCAAAATGTGTAAAATTAAGTGTAAATATACTGAAGTCCAGGATTTGTCCATGTGCAGATTCCATAATAAACTATAACTTAAGATATGAACAACAAATAAAAGACAGTATGTACCAAAATACTGGGACCATTGCTAAAGATAATTAATAAAGCAAAATGAGAGAGTAACAAGCATGGCACAAAAACTCACTCAAACCCAACTAATTAAGCGCCTCCAGGTGTTAAGAATGACTCATGACATAAATATAACTAGAATCCCTAGTAACATCTTTCATAAATATTGATATATATCCTCCATGATAGAATCTAGGCCAACTAAGCGCTGTAAGATATAAAAGAGTTGGTGGTGGGCAAAAAAACTGTTGAATTCCATGTTTGTATTTCATTCTGTCTCCATCTGTCCCCTTATGTACCAGCTGTGTGGTAGATGAGATGGACTTCCAGGGCATGGAGCTGGACGAAGCTCTCAGGAAATTTCAGAACCACATCCGTGTTCAGGGTGAGGCCCAGAAGGTGGAGCGACTCATCGAAGCCTTCAGGTTAGATCACACACTTACACATAGCATTTACACATATTGATACAGACGAATAATTGCACAGAGAAAACAGAGGGAGAAAAAAGCAATCCTGAGCCACCATTTATTACAATGAATGATTGTGTTTTAGGAAAGACAGGAGAGAAAACACTGATGCTGTGTTCATACTTGCACATTCATTAAATACACTGTCTGTTGCCTGTTGGTTACTGGAACCTGTGCGAAAAATTAATAAACTGCGGTGATCATTGCACCACACAGTTTCTGAATACACATTTCCAAAAAAGGGGCAAACAGCATATGCAATAAACAAGAATGCTTTGTGCTCATAACACTGGAAGCATTTTATGTTAACTTTTATTGATATTTGGAAAGTCATTGGTGCTGGGTTTCCTCACAGCTGTGTTGTCTAGATAATCATTGGTACATAAGGAGAACCAGGTCAACGTGACTTCTGTTTTCTTCTATGCTGAAAACATTTCCTTACCATGAGCGCAATTCTTTTGTGCGTGTTTTGTAATCAGAGTTTGGCTGTAAGTTGAAATGGGTGATTTTGTTCTCCTGTCTCATTTCTCTAGCCAGCGCTACTGCATCTGTAACCCCACCGTGGTGCGGCAGTTTAGAAACCCTGACACCATCTTCATCCTGGCATTTGCCATCATCCTCCTCAACACTGACATGTACAGCCCCAACGTCAAGCCCGAAAGGAAAATGAAGCTGGAGGACTTTATCAAGAATTTAAGAGGTAGCAAAACAATGACTGATATGAAAGGATACACTGCTTTCGAACAACATATATTTACTGATATTTTAAAATGTGCTACATACATAATATATCCTAGGACATATTTTGTCACTTGCAGATTAATGACTTTTTTGCAGAAAAAGAAATTTATTTTATTAATCCTTTCCCATGTATCCTGTTCTGATGTTTTAATAAAATCCTTTAATAAAGCCCTTGACTGTATATTGTAAAGTAAATTGGCTCTCCCCTGTGTGCCAGGTGTGGATGATGGGGAGGATATTCCTAGGGAGACTCTGGTGGGCATCTATGAGAGGATCCGTAAGCGAGAGCTCAAGACGAACGAAGATCACGTCTCACAGGTGCAGAAGGTTGAGAAGCTCATTGTGGGAAAGAAACCAGTGAGTACTGTTTATTATCTACTCTACTAAGTTCACCAAATCATATTATATTTTTCAAGGCATGAAATCAGGGGTGCCCGGTTAGCTCAG